CTGCTGCTGCTGCTGCTGCTGCAGGCGAGTCAGGAAGCAGACTGTCATCTCCAGGATGTCTGCTTTCTCCAGCTTGGAGTCGGGCTGCTGTTTGAGGAACTCTTTGCTGCCAGAGGCTGCAGAAACAGAAAAAATCATTAAGAAACTTATATTCCAGCATGGTGCAGATCAGCAAACACAAATAAAATATCAAGGGATTTGCATTTATCTCATATTTACCTTGTTGTTCAGAGTCAGATGYTCCTGACAGCTTGCTGATTCATTGGGTGTCATGATTAGATCTCCTTGCTGCGGCGGTCTCTGCAGACAGAATCTGATCTCTGCTGCCTTCAACCCGTCTATTTATACTCCCTCATCTCCATTGAATGTGTGGGTCTCGGTCTGGATGAAGTTTCCCACAGTTTGAACCAATCAGAGAGCGCCGCAGGATAATGAGGCATGTGCCWTTATCGCTCAGAGGATCATGTGGAGATTTCAGGGCAGCAGGTGGAAGAGGCTCAAAGAGCTCTGTGTCGATGTGGGAAAGCGGTGACCCCGCTGGGGCCGCCTGGGATCAATAACAGGCATGTTCRTCATCAAAACAAGTCAATGAATAACTTCTATAAAGCTTTTGATTTTACTCCCACGATGTGTTTTAGCTATACAGAAAAGAAACCGGCACAGATATTTATCAAATAAAGCAAGTTTAACCATGCAGATAAACCTAATATTTAAATAAATAAAATAGAGTTTGTTTCAAGTCTGAATTATAATACTCGAATATGTGATGAGCTGCATGTAGATGTGGTCCAGATGCTGATGAGTCAGTTGGCACGTGCCGTGGAGTGGCTGTGAGGAGCAGGCTGAGCTGGGGTTCCCACACTGACTGCAGGGCTGCGGTCAATCACCCACAAAAGGGATTTCCCAGACAGATGCTGGCTTTGTGTTGCCACACAAACTACCGCTGGCCATCTGGAGGGAAAGCATCCCATTGGCTGGCTTGAAAAGTTTTTGAACTTTTAAAAAAAAACGGATGTTTTATATTGATAGAAAAATAATTGGGGGTTTCAGAATTGAGTTTTAGCATCGACTCTGATGACTGAGCTTCGTCGCTGAGCAAAAGCTGCACACACTGTATAAAACAATCAGTTTTGTTCAATTTATTGAGTGAAGTCACTGTTTATTTACATAATTTAGCAGAAATNATAATTGCTCACTCAGTGTAATTTAAACTGATTTAGACTTTAGCCATGTTGGATACACAATTACAGAAATTGACATGTATAGTAATTTATATATTATCCCATCATAAAATTTAGGTTTTTACAGCTTTTCATTGATTCACACAATTTTAACTTTTTTATCATGTTCTGTGGCAACGTGAAACTCAGAATTGATGTCTGAGTGTCCAAATGAAGCCCAACAGTTTTACTTTCACATGTGCAGCATCATGATATTTCACCATGATGCTCCACTTGGTACATATTGAAACCTTTATTATAAATTCTTCAGTAAAGGACACAGAGATGGAAAAAGTAAACAAAGAAGAGAAAAAGGAGAAAAGTGGAAAAAAAAGAGGTAGAAAGGGAAACAAGACGATATGAGAGAGATGCATCAAGAAAACACAAGACAACACATTTGAAGTCCACCTCCACACCTGCAACAAGACAGAAAACAATAAAAATATATGCACAATTTTACACTATTTTCATTTTGGGGCGACCTAAATAAACATACGTATTCCCAGCCTCACTTAGTAAAATGTGTAACAATTTAAAATTTAGAGGTAAAGCATCCCGCCCCCTCCACAGACATCTTTGTCTAGCCTGCCTGTTTTGTCCCACAGGGCCTCTGTGAGTGGGTTTTCTCTTGGTTTCCCACACTCTGTCCATTTACTGCTTCCAAGAACAAAAGAAGTGTGTCTGGTTGCACATCACATTAATTATGGAGTCAGTTTACGAGGTTTGTCTCGCTGCCCGTGAATGGAAATTCCTGTCATGCAGACTCGTCATTACCAGGCTTTTGTGAGTGTCTGTGAGGAATGCAGACATCCAAAGGATTAATGAACATTCGAAAGTTATTTCCCACCTCCCATAGATTCAGACGGTTTCTCCACGTTCCAGTTTGGTCTGATGGGGACAATGAAAAGGACTCATGTGCTGTATTTATCATTTCAGCTTAAAAATTAAAAGAAATGCATGCAAATTTCTTATTTTGAGAACTTCTCAGTTTCATTAGGAGAATGTATAAACTGCAGGATGCTCCTAAATATGTTTTTGCAAAATTTAAATGCTCTACTTATAATTGACAGTTGGAGTGTGTGCGATGGAACCAGAAGCTCAGAGCTTAGATTCCAGCAACAGGCAGATCCACACACACTCCGAGGTCACCGCTTTCCCAGATTCACACAGAGATTTGAGTGCGCCCCCACCCGCCACCCCCCACTGCTCCAGTTGTTCCCCTGAGATCTAACCATTATCCTTAAAGGCAATAATTCCATTCAGAGTTTTRCATCCTTTATTGTCTCGCAGGCTTGTTCTGATTGGATGAGACTGTGAGAAACTCCGGGCAAACCAAGACCCACACATTGAAATGGAGATGAGGGAGTATAAATAGGAGGGATGGAGGCAGCAGAGATCAGATTCTCTCTACAGAGACCTCAGCAGCACAGAGATCCAAGCATGGCACCTACAATCACTGCAGCACTCATCAACTCTCAGGAGAACCTGACCCACAAGGTAAACATGAGATTCAGTCAATCCACTTTCATGACAGTTTGTGTTAAATGATTCCAACCTTACTTTAAAACAAGTTAATAATGGTTGTGTTGTTCCTGCAGCTCAGGAAGCCTCTGGTGGAGAAGTTCCGCAGAGAGAGGATCAACAGCAGCATCGAGCAGCTCAAGTCTCTCCTGGGTCCAGAGTTCCTCAAACAGCAGCCAGACTCCAAGCTGGAGAAAGCAGACATCCTGGAGATGACAGTCTGCTTCCTGACTCGCCTGCAGCAGCAGCAGCAGCAGCAGCATCCAGCTGTGGACTCAGCAGCTGTCCATCGGG